CTCTGCCTCAGTGACCCCAGGAGTCAGGGCCAAGGAGGGCTCTAGGGGCAGGTTGTCATCTCATTCTGAAGCACGGCGGGAAGAATCAGGATATGCCCTGAGTTTGGAGAGTCTCAGGAGAACATCACATGTACCTAGGTCTTGATGTCTGCAGATCTGGGTATCAGCTCTTCTTGGTCAAACTGACCTCTCTCTCGATCCAAAAATTATAAGAAAGGGCATCTGTGTCCATGAACAGCCAAGGGAACATTTCTCTTGTGAGCAAACAAGACAGGATGGGGCCAAGGACTGGCCATGAAAGGCACAGATAGATGCCCTTCCCAGTGAGGCTGGGAACTGTGTCCCTTGTGACCCCACAGGGTCCCTGAGCCCCAGAGCTGGATCCCCTCATGAAACCCAAATCCAGATGCTGACATTCGACCATGTCTTCTCAACACACCAACTATTCTTGCCCTGGGCTTTATTGTTAGCTTCTTTCCAAGAGTTTGCTAAGCTGGGGGTCAATTTCTCGGTCAGCCCACCCTCCCTCCACCTCAGACAGGCAGCTGTGCAGCAGGCTGTACCGCAGAGGGATCTGCCGCAGGAGCCGGCCCTCAGGTGCACTCAGGGCTCAGAACACAGTGAGGATAAAGGAACAGGAGAGCTTCGTTCTAAAAAATACATCCTATATAAATATCTCTGGTTTTCAGGAAAGATCAGGATTAGGTGAGAGATTATGAAATATGGTAAGCTTTAATCATTCAATAATTGTTCCAAATTATTAAACATGACAACTGCAGTGATATAATTGGCCACTGTTGTGCATTAATGTGGCAGCATGAACTCGAGGAACCCTGTGTCATTGTTAGTTAATCATGAGGTCACTCCCCAGAGGGAGCTCACATCCACCCAAGCGAGGAGTGGGTTTTGGTGCCTAGAGAGTATCTGGCTGACAAAGGTCATGGTCATAATCACGTGGCAGGCTCAAGGAAGAGTGAGATGAGAAAGCTCAAGGTCACCTCTCTGCATTCCACATCTGACACTCCCAGGTGGCTCCCAGCATCTCCACTTGTGGATGGCAGGAAGACAGACTTCACCCAACAGAGGCAAGTGGCCGAGATGGTGAGGAGCTGGGAGCTCCCTGAAGCTGGAGGTGAGGAGAGTCCACCTGGCGCAGAGGGAGGACCTGGCCTTGGAGCTGTCCCTGCCCCTCCGGGCAGCCAGCAGCAGTCCGCGCGTGTGGGAGGAGCCCGCCCAGGCCACACAGCAGCCTGAGAGGCCCCGAGTCACATCAGGCGCTGCAGGGTAGCCACTCCCAGAGGTGCCTTCTCACCAGGACTATGACCAGGTTCCCTGGTAGGAAGCAGTGGGCCTCTGCAGCCAGAGTGCACGTTGGCTTTATGACTTGCTCTTAAAGGGAAGCCCCTGGACTTCTTCCAGAGTCTGGACCTCAGCTTGTGCTCAGTCCTGCCTCTGACTTTCTGGGGCTTGGGGAAATAAAGTAACGTGGGTTGACAAAATCAATGTGCACTCCCATCAGAGTCTATACCTCATCATTCTCACTCAGGTGTGGGCCCTTGCTGCTCCCCAAAGCTTCAACTAAGACAACTGGCTTAAGGGGTGAGAAGTGCTTGGGGTGGAGGCTGAGAGCATAGCGGAAGCCTGGGCACATCTGTGCCCCATCTTCTACCACAGCTTGCTGCCATGCCTTGTGGGGAGCAATTGTGTCCCCTCCTGGCTTCAGCCACCCTCCTTGGACAGAAAGGAGGGTGCTGTCTGTGGGCCAGGTCTCCTGAGCCACACTAAATGTCCCCAACTCCAGAAGGGAGACTCTGAGAACAGCCAGAGTCAGACCCAGAAAAATTTGTGTTCCCTGACCCTTGGCACACACGCCCCTGCCCTCTGAGCCCAGCAGTTCCCTCCTCAGAAAGCCCTTCCTCCTCCTGCCACTGTGCCCAGGTATGATACTCTTCACCTCTAGGACCCAGCCCAGAGGCCCCTCACTCCACAAAGTTTGTTCCCACCTCTTCCCTGACCTCTGCCCCCTTTGCCTGCACTGTGCATCTGATTCCTACTTCAGTCGTTTATGCCCTGGGTGACCCTCTCCTCCAGATTGAGCTCCTCAGAGTGGGATGTGTGTGTCACACTCACACACAGAGAGACACAATCAAACAGACATGTACACTCAAACTGCCACATGCAGCATATCCACCCTGACAACACTGCTTTGCAAGCACAGGATATCAAGTGACCCTTGAATGAATGATTGACCGTAAGGACATAACTTGTAACTCAGAGGTCACATGGATGGCCATCTGGGATGCCACACTGCACACAGGAAGCTGCAGAAACTGAGCACTAGACCTTGTGGGCCACTAGAGTGAAAGGAGGAAATGCGAGGCCAGAGTCCAAGGGACAGCTCCAAGGTGGGGCTTGGCCTGACTAAGCTGCCCATTGTGTGGAATTTAGATGCTGGAAAGGGCAAAGAGAAGACAGGTGTCATCCTGCAAGGGACTGACCCAAAACCCTTAGGGCACATCCCATAGAAAGAGGAAATTGTAGTAGAAAGTAGGCTTGGGAGAGTGTCCTGTGTCACCTGGCTGCTTGATTGGTCCATCTGTGTGACCTTCAACACTTCCAGAAGGAACACATGGGCTGTCCCCTGCCTGGTGCAGCCACTGCTCTGGGTGTGAGAAGCTGCACACAGACCCAGGCGAGACAGAAAGCCTGGGAGCCGACATCTGCCAGCCTCTTGCTGACCTGTGGGTCTCAGGCTAAAATGAGAAGTGTCTGGCCATGGCTGTTTTGTCTCCTTTAAGAATATTAGGGAGGCAGAAGCCAGAGGGGCTCTGACTGGAAGACCCCTGGCAGCACCTGGTCTCACAGACCCCTGACAGCACTTGGACTCACAGACTCCCCACAGCACCTGGACTCACAAACCCCTGTCAGCACCTGGACTCACAGACCCCCCCACAGCACCTGGACTCACAGACCCCTGACAGCATCTGGACTCACAGGCTTTGGGTGCCCTTTGCCTCAGACAGACAGTAAGTTCTTTGCTCTCTTGAGAGCAGAAACCAGCTTTAACCAAACCCCGCAGGGAAGAAAGGCCCCGCCACCTGGAGTCTAGGACACAGCAGTGTCTTCCAGTAAATAAAAGGAAAGACGCCAGGGGGCGCATGTCAGTGCTAGAGACACAGCTCCAAAAGGCCAGGCAGCACAGCATGCCTGTTAGGGTACAGGTTTTCATGGCTACAGGGCACAAGCAAAGATATGACTAGAAATAAATATACACACACATGTAAATGTGGATATTACAACAAATATATGATCAACAAATAAAAATTAAAATTAAAAGGTAAATGTTTGTACATATAACATAGAAGTGCTGTCTGTCACTCTGCGCCGAGCTTTTTCCATAGAGGAGAAAAATATATGCACATAAATGAATACTCCATATAAGTATTTGACATGATCACACATATGTATATATGCATATTTAAGGAAACTTACGTAAATGTGAATACATATACATAAAATAAACATCCAAAAGGACAAACACAGGTTGAGAACCGCTGCAGTAAGGGAAGACAGAAATATGATAGGAGTCTTCCTGCCAGTTCCATGTGACCATCCCTGATGAAAAATGCCAAGACAGCACCTTTAACAAGACCCACTCAACGTGCTGTCACCCTCCAGTGAGAAAGCTGTTCACTTCTCCCAGAGCTTTCAATTAGAGTAGATGCTTTCCCTTTAACATGCAAGATGAGGGCAGGTGATCTTGTCTCAGTGTGGGTGTGTGAAGGAGGGGCTTTCTGTGCAGAAGTGGAAGGGCAAGGTCTGGGCCCCCAGGATTGCCTAGAGGAGTGGTGAGTCATGAGGGCTCAGATTCTATGGGACTGAAGGACAGCCAATTAGTAACTAGTAACATTTTATGAGCTGGTAAGTTTTGTGAGTGATGGTACTGGGAAAAATTAGTCTCAGAGTTGCAGCACATCACTTTAAGCAATATTAGATGAAATATAACCCATGTCAGGTTATAGAAGACAGTTTCAGTAGCCTGAATTATATAGGATTACATTTTGGAACAATGCTACTCTGGCCTCTTCACTCCATTTTAGTTGAGTATGATAAAAATGACAGGCCTGAACTCTGGGAACTGTCTTGCAGAAGTTAACACTTTCTCTCCCAGCTGCCTGTTCTTGTTAATCTCCACATCAATGCACTTTTCTTCATCCTTACTTTCTTCTCTGTGACACCAGTCACAGAGTGTGCTGGAAGGAGGGATCCGAGGTGTGCTTCTGTCTGTCAGCTCAGACCCGTGCTTCTCCAGGCTCCCTGGATGCCTGGGGCTCAGACTGGAAGGAGTGGGCAGCAGCGGCCCAACAACCTCCCACATGCCTACTGCAGAGGCAGAGAGACCTGGCCACGGGCCACGGGCCACAGCAGCTGCCAATCCTCTGGTCAGCCATTCGGTTGGGGCAGCACAGCGGGAGGGACTGGCTGCTCAACCTGGCAGTGGAGGGGGCCCAGCATTGTTGCCCACCACGCTATGGACAGGGGACAAGGAGAAGCAGTCGGCCTGCAGGCCCACAGGCCTTGTGGGCGGCACTCAGTGACCCTGAGGCAACCAGGGGTGAGCCCCACCTACCCACGCAGGTGGCTGAGCTGCAGCTGCAGAAGGAACACACGCGGACAGTGGGGACTGATCAGTCCTAACGCCTCTGTGCTCTGGGGAGATCGTTACTGCCCCAGCCGTTTCTCCCCCGGTGTTTGTGCGCTTGCGCAGTGGCGCCCATTGCCAGGCGTGTGCTGGTGGCTGGGTGGCGGTGCTCGGCTCTGCCTGCCTCGGGTCGGCTAGGCCTGCCTATTCATTCTTGTTAGACGTTGGAATCCACTATTTCCTTGTTGGAAATTGTGGTCAGATTGGGTTGTCTGGACTGCATTGTGCTGGTGGGGGTGGTGGGCGGAGAGAGGGTGGGAGGTGACGCGTTTCTGAAGCTGCAGCCTCCCCTGCGTAGATGTTCTGTTTCAGGAGGAGCAGGGCCGAGTCACCCTCCCGCCCCTACACCAGCCCCAGAAAGACCAGCGTGGGGTCCAGTGATGGGGCCGGGGCCTTCCATCGGCAGCAGTATCTGATTCGTAAAAAAGATCTCGGAAAGATTCACAGAGCTGCCAGCACAGGTCAGGCGGAGAAGGTCCACAGGATCCTGTGCTTCAGGAGAGAGGTCCTGGATTCGAGAGACAGGAAGGACAGGTAACGGGAGCCGCAGACTGGGCAGGAGGGGGCGTGGGGTACACACCTCCCAGGGCTGCGCTGTCGGGCCCCCTGTTGGCCAGAGAGCCGCCTCCCTCCCTGGGGCAGCAGCTCCTGGATGGGGAGACCCTGGTGGGGTCCAGCCCAGGCCTTCTTTAAGGGCAGCAGGACAAAAGCTAAACCTTGGCAGATTTCCCACCCACTCACCATTTCTCTTCTAGAACACTTTATTAATAATTTCAACTATTTAACAAAAATTTAAAACAATTAGGTATAGACAGTGTTTTATTTTTAATGTACATTTATGTAATGAGAGAACTATATTGATCACATTCTATTTTGTGTTCTGGGCCAAAATCTTTGCATAAAATCCGTTATGTGTTTTTTATCAATATATACCTATGTAAATGTGTTTTGTGCTGAGGGAACTTGGAAGCTTTGATGTGGGTAGATGGTTCCATAGTCTTCAATAAAAAGACTAATCTTTTTCTGAAAATGTGAGCTCATTCTATATTTATCAATTTTGTATAAGCTGAATACAAATATTAAGGTTTGAAAACTTTTGAGTTACTCCTGGTGTCTGTCTTTTACTATTGTGATGACATTAATAATTTTTTGTAATGGAGGGAACAAAGACCTGCCCTTCTAGATATTAACATATGCTATTGTTATAATTTCCACACATTAATCATTTATTAAAAATTGAAGAGCCAGATTAATGAATGGAACACTCAAATATATGTAAGAATTTAGAACTTGATTATGGTGATATTTCATATGACAAATTACTTAAACAATGACAAATTACTTAAAATTGCAATTACTTAAAAATGACAAATTACTTAAAATTTGCAATGACAAATTACTTAAAAATGAAATCCCTGTTAACTGTTTTTTAAAAACATCTTCAAGAGACAGTACATAGTGCAGTTCTGTAAGATGTTCAGAGAGCTCAGTGTGATAGAATATGCGCCTCCAGAGAAGTGAAGATTACTATCCATCTGGCAGCTGAATAACAGCTTCTTTGCAACTGGTCGTGGTGAGATTGGGGAGAGAAGACTCCAGGAATCCCTGGCTTGTGGACTCTGCCCAGAAACATCCCTTTGGGAACACAGGGAGACAGCAATAGACTTCTGGACCCCAGGAGGAAGGACAAAAGCAGTGGAAAACTGGCAAGTGGTTGCCTGCATTCAGTCTCAGGCTGTGGCTGCCATTGCTGTAAATAACAGCAGTGAGATTGCAAATGGGGAAGGCCTTCCTTGTGGGCTATTCAGTTTTTTTGGACTTGAACACTGAGTTGAACTACCTTGGGAGAACTTGGGCAAGAGTATGGATGACTTTAAGTGTTGTCTAGGGCCCCAGACTGAGCTGCTGAGCCACAATGGAGCTAATATTGTTCAGCTGTGGGCTGTGCAGCCATTGTGGGAGAATTACCCCTGCAGGCTCCATCCTCAGGATCCCAAGCCCAGGCTTGGGCTGGGAAACCTTGGGCGAGTGATCTAGTGACTGAGCAGTGCCAAAGGCCAGGACTGAGACACCAGGGAAGAGTGGAGATTTCTGTGTTTGGCAGTAGCAGGACTGTCTTATAACCTCGGCCCTCAGGGGCATAGAGTGAGACCATTTTTGGCACACTGGATAAGGGGGCAGCAACTTCAGGAGCAATCCCATTGACAAGTGCTTTCCTAGGAAAACTTTTGCTTAGCCTTTTAAGCAGGCTGAGGAGAGATTTAGGTTCTCAACCCTGCAGGATTTCAGAAATCATCAAAGGCCTCCAGTCTCCATCTGATATAGCTCTATCAGCATTGTGATTAACATCTCATACCCCAGAAGATCACCTGTTACCAGACAATATTCTGCAAGGTATATATACTGCTTTTTTTTTTCTTTTAATTTCAACACTGTCCCTCTAGATTTTTCTTTTTTTCTCATCATTTTTCTAGTTTAAAATGATTTTCCATTGTTGCCTTCTTTAATAATAAGAACTTCATTTTTGCTACTGTTTATGTCCCTAGTATTTGGGTTTTCCCCCAATTTTATCCCATAAGTTTTTCTATTTTTTTTTTTTTGTTTTGGTTTGATATATAGTATTTTTGTATTTCTTCTTTATTTGGTGGAGAAGGGTACCATGTATGCTCAAGCTGACAAAGAGCTGATACCACAAGGCAACCACCCAACCAGTACCCACATAGGTTAGGGGTTTTTAAGGTTGGGTCAAAGGACCCTACTGCACACCTTTATTACTCCTATCTCCCCCTTTCTGTACCTCTCTTATTTTTGTCAATATTTCCTTTTACTCACCCCCTCTCCTTTCTCTTTTTTCTTTATTAAAAATCTTTTCCCCTTCTTGCTCTTCAATCTTCTCATCCTTTTAGTCCTATACCAAAAGGACTCATCAAAATCTTAGGCCAAAGGCAGGGTAACTTAAAGAGCAAGAGGAATTGAAAGGAGAATTAGGGAAAGGAAACAGATTTAAAAAAAAAAAA